CCGCCAGCCGCGGGGACAGCCCTGGGGACAGCCGCCGYGGGATGCGTTAGCCGCCGGATCGCACGGGAATATTTCTGCTGGGAAAAGGAGAGCGGCAGCCTCCTCCCGCGGCCGGCGAGCGGCAGGAAAAGCGGATTTAAAGAGCATCTTCGCCCCTTTGTTGGATGAGAAGGACGGGGAAGGAGCGGCAGGATGAGCACTAGCAGTGAGTACGGCGTCCTCTCGCCTTGGCTGTGGGAATGGGGCTGATACCGCACCGAGCTGGCTGGGAGGAATTGGAAAGAAAATGTCATAACAGCGCTGACAAGCCTGTGGGATGGAATTTTGGGTTATTTTCCTGCCTGTCTTTTGCTCGCCTGCTTTCTGACAGCGTCTGGCTCGGCTGGCCTATGTTTGATGTGGGCTGAGCCGTGGCGCTTATCTCCACGGAGTACTTTTCTTGGCTTGGATTTCTGGGGTTTGGAGGGCAGAGCATCGACTGAAATGTCGATACGCAACATGGTGAGAGGCAGCCAGGAGCGCTCTGACAGGCACAGCCTCACTTGCTGCTGCCTCTGCCTGCGAAGAAATGGATGTGAGGGGAGGAGGAGAAGGGTGAGGACAGACCCAGAAACCTGAGCAAAGCACAGGTGCAATCCTGGAAAAAAAAACCCCAGCCTCCTGCAGCTGGGGATGTGGGTGTTCCTATTGTGCGTGTGAGACGGGGACAGRGGCACTCATGCGCTGTGGATGAATTTCTAAAGAAGCAGAGCTGGGAAATGTGCTGCATAAGATGAGAACTGGCACCTGGCGCTAGGCTGCTCACTTTGGATTCTGTGCCCTTGTAGGAAAGTCTGGGAAGATTGATCAGGGCTGAGCAAGTCACGATCAATTTCCTTTTTGCGGCTGATGTGCTGTGTGACAGCTGTGCCCACCTCGCTGGCACGGCTTTGATCCCTCCCTTTAAAATCAGCGAAACCTTAACCAAAGGAGTTGGTGTTGGTGGCCACCTGAGGGGCTTCCTCCTGGTAAAACCTCTCCAGGGAAGCCCCCCTGCCCCTCTGGTGGGTGCTGGAGCTGTGTGAGGAGCGGAGCCCTCCCCCAGGCAGAAAACAGCAGAGCAGCAACTTCTCCATTGCACTGAGGTTTCTCAATCCCAGGGCTTGGGGTGGTTCCCGAGCAAAAYACCGTGAAAAATGCCTTGGCAYGCTGCGAGGCGACAGAACAGGTGATTCCAGCTCCGTTGGGCTGTGTCAGAGGCGAGCAAACTTTSCAGGTGCCCTCTGCCCAAGCCACACCTGGGACAGGAGCAGCCCCTGTCCCGGGGGAGCGGRGCTGGCGCTGCCTAGGTAGGAAACAATAGGGACTGATTCTTTCCGAGCCTGCAGGATGCCTGATAACAAAAGGGTCCTCCCTCCTCTCCTCTGGGTGAGCAGCTCAGCTCTGGTGCAGAGCACTGGTGGGATCAGTGGCCATGGTGGTCAGGTGGGACTGCTAAGCTTCCTCTAAGCCAATTCTGACAAATGCCTGTTGGTTCCTTTTGGGATCCTTTCCCAGCTCTTAATAGCTGGCTTGGCTGCTGCCGGAGATAAGGGCTGTTTATGGCACCGGGGTGCTCTCACTATCTGATCGTGCTGCAAAAACTCCTTCAGCCGGGGCCTCCCACACGCAGCGAGGTGCCAGGGAGCTGAGCCACGCTGCTGCCCACCGTTCTGCTGTGAATCACACGGGGAGCCCACCGGGCACAGCCCGAGTCCCTGGGGAGCTGCTCCCCTATCTGYCACCATCCTGCTCGGTGGCCTTGGGCACCTCACCCCGCCGTGCCTCAGCTCCTGGGGCTGCCAGGGCGCTTGCCGAGCCTTTTTGGGGGTTTGTGGTCCTTGCCTAAATTGCCATGAGCCCACTGTAAGCGGCCACGTGGTGTAGTGAAGGTTTGGCAGCTCTGTGACATCTCCGGGTCACTGGCTGTGCTGGGGGTTGGTCACTCATGGGTCACTCCAGGTCCTTCTGGGACCACACCAGGGGTGTGCAAATGCTGTAGGGTGGTGGGGTCTGTCCTGCTGGGCTCCCGTGGTTTTCCTAATGCTCAGAGTGCTCCGAGCAGTGTTTACCGTGCCCAAATGCTGCTCCACTCCTGTTCCCAGCAATGATCCTCTCCCAGCTGGCTCTGTGAGCCAGGCAGGGCTGCGGGGCCATCTCTGCCGTCAGCATGTTCTGGGACYGGCGTGAGCACTGCCAAGAGCTGCCTCTCCCATGGCTGCTGCCTCGCCCAGCTCTGGCCATTCCTCCCTCAAATCCTTCTGCCCACAAGACCCAAAAACACCAATCCTGGGAGCCTTGTGCCAGTGCCATCTCCATTTCACCCCGCTGATGCCACCTGGCACTGATCTACCATAGTTTTTTTACCTCTCTGCTGGTGGAGCTCGGTGCCACTTGTCAGAGGCTTCCCAGCCCTTCCAGCATGGCCAGCTCTGCTGATTTGAGGTTTTGGCTGGTTTTCCCCCAGTCCCTGGAGTGTCTGAGGGTCTGGATGTGTGGGATCCACCAAGGGCACAACGAGGCACAGGAAGAGAAGGATGGATGATGGAGCCGGATTGTGCACGGATTTTTGGTACCCAGGTGTACCTGTGCCTGCAGGGCTGAAATTTCAGGGCTGGCAAACCAGTGAGGAGCGCAGCTGGGGATGAAATGCCACCATCTGATCTGTGAATTCCCACCGCTGCTTCCCGTTGCRCTGGGTGCATTTTGCTAACACCTCTCCTGCCTGAAGCTGATGTGAGGCAGGGAACCTGTGGCTGTGAGCCACGGCTGGCCCCAGTCCACGCTGGGCAGCAGATCTGGGAGGCTCCAGGAGCTCTGGGCAGGATTTGTTGGGTTTATCTCTGCAGATGTCCCCTTGCTGAGGGGACAGCGGGTTGTTTTTCCCCCTGGGTTTGGAGGTTTTGTGTCACCGTCACTCCCATGATGAATGCAAAGCCATATGGAAATTTTGTGTCTAAGGTGAGGAGATAAACCCYTTTGATGTCAGCCATAAACCCCTATCCTGAGGCTGCAGAGCAGCTCAGGTGGCCCTGAGGGTGGAAAGGGGGAGAAGAAGGCCTCTCCTCCTGCAATTCCAGGTGTGCAGTGAGGGTTTGGAGGGCACAGTGTTGGTGTTTACACTCATTATGATATCGCTGCCTCTCACTAATTGGTGACAAATGGATTCCTGCCATRGTGAACAGGTCTGTGGTGCTGCTTGGTGTCTCCATGAGAGCTGGAGCWTGTAGGACAAACCCTTGGCCCAGAGAACATCCCATAAAATCAGTCTCTGGAATCTCCTGTTCCTGCAGCCAGCATCTCCCCGGGAATCCATGAGGGGAATTTGACATGCCCGATGCTGTGTTCGTGCTGAAAGGGTTGGAGCTGTCTCTGCCCCAAGGATCCCAGCCTCTGGAATGAGTGGGAAGAATCCCTTCTGCCACTTTGGCAGGAGCCAGCACATTTGGATGCTGCAGGTCCATGGAGTGCTGTATCTGAGTCACCCCCAAGTGCGAGATTTRCACATCATCCCTTTTGGCCCAGCTCTTTCGGGGTGGGAGAGSGGCTGCTGCCAGTCTAGGGACTGGTTTTGCCAGGAGAAAGGTGCCCCTGGTTGTTCTGGGCCTGAGAGAAGAGCCTGTTCAGCTCCTGGGGAGGTGAAACCCTGTTGAGCTGCTGGGTTGAGCCAGGCCTGGCACTGGGGGATTGGGGCCAGTTCCCACACCAGGGATCTTCCAGCATGCACACTGAAATAGGACATCAGAATCTGTGGCAAGTTAATTCAGGGTGGGCTGAGCCATTTCTCCCCATCCTCGGAGCAGCTGAGAGCCCGTTGGAGCTCCCCAAGAAGGTTTGGTATGCCAAGYGGAAAGTTTCATCCCAATCCCTGCCACCTCTCAGATTCCTCCTGCTCTGAGAAAGGCAGGGAAGGAGCTGGGAGGAAAAGCTGGACAGCGAAGCATTTGGGGCGGGAGGCTTCCTGACAGATCCTGAGGAATGCAGCATGTTTGCCTGGTTATTTTTGTCCTGCCTGCATCATGCTCCCTCTTAGATCGTGATCCTCTAAGCGTAATTACCCCGTAATCTCCCGGCACATGCGGTTACAAGGTGTTTACCAGCAAACTCCATTAAGCACCCGTGTAATTACAGAGGAATGGCAGGGTGCTGCACATCCCTGGGAGCTGCAGCTCGGCTCCTYGGGTGGAGGAGGACACCTGGACCCTCAGGTGTCCCCACCCTGCAGGGCAGGACCTGCTGGAGAGCATAGCGAGTCCTTTCCTGCGTTCAGGAGTGCAGGGAGCCGGGAGGGATCAGCCTGTCCAGGTCATAAAGAGGGTGTTTTCCAAAATTCAGGCACCCAGGGGAACTCCCAGACTCCCTGCCTGCATTTTGGTCCTCTCAATGCCCTGACTCTGATAAACAACCAGACACAAATCACTCCCTGTTCTCCTGGCCAGCCTAGCAGAGGCACAATTACCCATTGCATTCACTTTGCTGCCAGAAAATTCCAATCCCAGGCAGCCTCTGTGTGTCCCCAGGCTGGTGGATGGGCTTTGTCCTCCATCCAGGCTCCATCCAGGCTCTTTCCAGCCCTCTCTCCTGGCAGCTGGCCCTTGGAAGAGCAGGAGCCATGGAAAGTGGCCCTGCAGACCCAAGGAGAGCGTGCAGTAAGGTCAATTGAAGCAATTTAATTCTTACAAGGGCCTACCGTGCTCTCCTAAAATAAATAGCACATTTCCAAACCATGAGTGGTGATCAGTTTAGGTTGGTGATGTCAGCAGGAGGTGCTGCCTTTTCTGGGGAGAAGGGAAGGCAAACCCACCCAGCCCTGTCCCCATGGGGCCATCACGGTTGGAACATCTCGTTTTTAGCTCTTAAATTCATCAGTGCTGAGTTGTGGGTGCTGCAGCACCTCCAGAAAGCATCTGGGGTGGGGTGGTCATGGCAAGAGCACTGGGGAGGGATGAGGGAGGAATTTTCAGGATGGAAGGAAAAGCTCAGACCCAGGGGTTTGGGGTGTGGGCAAGGCTGGCAGGGCACTGGGAGCCTGGAGCAGGGAAGGGGCTGTGCCAAGTCCTCCTTGCCCAGCACCTCTGAGCTCAGTGGGCTCAGCGCATCCCTGAGGGAGCAGGAAAGCTGGAATGCACCTCCCCACAGCCCCCATGGCTTTCCAGGGAGGGCTGAATGGGGATTTCAGAGCCAGAG